ATTGAATATAAGTTTCCTTTAATTTCTGAGGAATTCTACAGTAAATCTGGATGAAACTTGGCACACAGGTACAGTAGGTGTCCCAGAGAAGGAAACTGTTGAAAGTTGGACCTCAACTACTAAGGATGATTTTTAATGAATTTTTGTAATTGACATAATTGCATTGACTGTATTGGGCTGTTCCATCGTAATGTGTGCGCACGCGTGCGCGTGTGCGCGTGGGCGGGTCTAGGCTTTCAATCGGGATATAAAGCGAAAAGGCGCTACCGTAAAGACTGGTGTAAAAGCGCAAGGAAATTTATGCGGCAGATAAGAGGCGGCTGGCTTGACCGCGGCTCACAAATGACGGCTCACTTTACCGCGGTTTATGTCACTCTGGACTTTTCTCCTGTGCTCGGCTTTGTCCGTCTGGACTCCTGTACAAGGTAAGCCGACGTGTCCAGTTGCATGTTAGTGCGATTACAGTGAATTTTAATGAAAAACTGGCGGATGTGAATAAGCTGAATTGACTATTATCAGCTGTGCTGTGTTGTCCGTCACTAACAGTGTGACAGCTGTCAGTGAGTTACTTTAAAACCGGAAGAAGCTTAAAACGAGAAGATTGTCAGGCAGGTTCTGACTGTGTGAAGCGACTGCTCTCAGTTTAGAGGTTTGTTTATAACGGACACGATAGAGATGATTCACCGAGCAGTCTGTGAACATGCGAGGCGTTTATGAGAGCCGTGTGTTTGTCAGAAGTGGAAAAGACAGTTACTATGTAACGGAGGGAAGGTGATGTTTTTTTCCACTGTTCGTTTAAAGGAGGGGAAACCTTCCTCCAAAACGGATAGAGCAGTGGAGCCGCCAAGGGAAAGCACACAACTTTAAAACTGTATAATTAAAATATAATTTATTATATTTAAATAGTTAAAAGTGTAAAATGAATTAAAACAACCCTGGCCAGGGAACAACACAATAAAAATAAATAAAACACAACATTAAAATCCGGTGGCGTCCGCCACGATATAAAAGTCACTAAAAAGTTAAAAAAAATCCAGCGGAGCGGTGCAGGAGGGGAACCCGGTGTTGTGCCAAAGTAGGTATCCCCGACAGAATTTGTTTCCCCTGTGCTGGGAGCACAGGGGAAACAAGTACTGATGTTTTCATTTTGTGAAAAAGTGAAAAATTAGTATCATTACATTACCATTCAGTTTGAGGGTTACAACATTATATAATTATATATTTATTGCTCACGGGTATCAGATGGGATTATTTTAACAAACCATTAACGTTTTGGCTGATAACTATTTTTATATTTTTATTCTCCTATAACTTTACTATATAAAGAGCTAAATCCTCCAAAGTTTCAGGAGTAATGCGTCATAATAAGAAGTGTTTGTGAACGAAAAATCAGCAATGTGGGATACTGTTTGTCCGTGATTTACACAGGGGGAACAAATTGTGGCAGGATCAGCCTGATATTATTTGTATTCCACTATAACTTCGTTGTATAAAGAGCTAACATCTCAAAAATGTCAGGAGTAGTTAGTCATTATAAGAAGTGTTTGTAAACTAAAAATCAACAATGCGGGATACTGTTTGTCTGTGATTTGGACAGTCCAGCGTGTGCTCCCGACGCAGGGGAAACAAATTCTGTCGGGGATACCTAATTTGGCACGACACTGGCGCTGTATCCTCCTCTGTCTCCTTGACGCCAAGCTCCACCAGCCTTATGTGTCCCTGCGCACTCTGTAAATTACTACTGCCATTCCTCTCAGGTGTGTCAAATTAACGGAAAGGGGGAAAAGGGCGGAGTCTCTCCAGGACGAGTTGACTGATGCAAGCAAAACATGCGACATAAATAAAAACACTCCACAAGATACAAAACATGCAATATAAAAAAATAAATAAGCACACTTCACATTAAAACACAGCAAGGTAAAATAGCATCCGTCTTCCCCTGGATGACATCTACAGCTGAATGTTGTGTTTTTGTAATGTGATTGCTTTGCTAAACATAAAAGCTTTGAACTGATAATAAGGCATTGACAGTGACGATCACAGCGACCCTAGGTCGATCTGCTCTCAAAGACAAGAAGGTCACCACAAAAACCCCAAACAGGGATGATGCAGAGAAGAGTTGGACTGTTTTCTCACCATTTGTTGGAGTCGTGTCCTGAGGATCTGGAGTTTGCAGCGACGTCTCGTTGAGGTTTTAGCAAAGTTTTGATCTAAGAGACAAAACGGTCAAAATCTGTTATTAAAATTAGACTGAAAGTTTATGACAGGGGACAAAAAACAAAACAAAATAAAAACACAAATCAGAACCACAAACATCACCAAAACAAATCTTCTCACCGACTACAAGTTCAACAACAGCAGCTTTCACTGTGCTCTGCAGCTTGGGGATGAAACATCTGTATCTGCCGTTGTCTTCCTCCGACACGTTCAGGATCTTCAGTGAAATGTTCCCGTGTTTCATGTCGTCCATGAACAGCTCCGTCCTCCTTAAGTACGAGGCCATCTTCATGTCGGGGACATGTTTTTATTTTATTTTTATTTTTTATCCCAAAAATAGTCAAATATATAGTTAAATAAAACAGTAATGCAATTTGAAACATGTCTGTGTCTTGAAATGTAACAGTTATTATTATTATTATTATTATTATTATTATTATTATTATATGTATTTTTTTCGGTTTGCAGCCTGAATGTGAAAATGAGGAAGAAGCAGCTTTGGATCTTCACAGACTGTTAACAAGACATAATCATGGATTTCATGCCTTTCTTCATGGTCCCACTATCGACTCTCATCCTCCACTTGGGTTCAGTTAAAGGTAAATATGGTTTTGAGAAGGAAAAACTCCATTTTAACAGGAAGAAACTCTTGCAGAACCAGGCAGGAGAGCAGCGATCAGCAAACAAAATGCAGAGACAAGCCATGCAAAATTATGAAACTTAGCTGGATATTAAAATTCCAAGTTCCTCTGTGCTCTCCAGGTGGGCTGGCTGTAGCTCAGGAGGTAGAGCAGGTCCTCAAGCAATCGGAAGTAGAATCTGCAAAATATGCCAGATATTCTTGGACACAATATTAACCTTGAGTTGCTCTCCGATGCATCCATCCAAGTGTGAATGTTCGAGTACAAAAGTGCTGTATAAGAAGTAAATGCAAATCTAATGTTAAAACCTCCTATGATTTATGGTTTGGAGATGGTGACAAGAAACCGGAGGCAGAGCTGAAGAAGCTCAGATTTTCATTTAGTGTGATCAGAATGGAAAAGATCAGAAATGAGTCTGAGGGACGGCTCAGGTTTGAAGATGACGTTGGAGAGGCAAACCTGAGATGGTTTAGACATGTGCAGAGGAGGGACAGTGGATCACTGGATGTTGTAAGATGTTGCTGCCAAGCAGGAGGATGTATTTAGTGCCTTGGACACAAAATGTTGGAAACTTCTGATGTTGTATAAAGTTGTGAGTGTGTCTGCTCCTCTCTGTCTCCTCAACAGGATCATTTGTAGTCAATGTGACACAGAGCTCCTATCAGGCAGAGGAGAACCACAACATCACACTGGAGTGGACGTTCACCACCAAACCAGACACGTCCATCTCAGCACTGAAGATCCGCTGTAGCCTGATAACTGATCAAAAACCCTCAACTCTGTATTTTCTCCTTGATGGTGTCGAGTTCTCAGAGGATGAAGAGTTTTCAGGACGAGTCCAGAGTGACAAAGACGCCCTCAGAGAAGGACGAATCAGACTCCAGCTGTCCAGACTCAGGACTGAGGACTCGGGTCTGTACCTGTGTGAGGTGGACACAGGTTATGGCCGCGGCTACAACAGCTGCAGAGTCACAGTCTCTGGTAAGAGGATTCATTTATACACATGTGATCACTGTGATCTTAGTCTGGAACCTGAGATAAGAATATATTTTTAAATCTAACATTGTGTCAAACACTTGCCTTCTTTTTGTCAACAATCTAACAAAAAGAAGAGTTTTATGTCTTTGATAGTTTCCACAGCTGTACTGAGGGTTAAATTTCTTTGCACCCACATATTGTGTTCAGATGTTTACATCCACTCATCTTCATGTGCTTGAATGCGATGGTAATTTGGGGTGTTTAATGGTTTCTTTCAACTCTACAGTGTTTGTGCAAGTTTGTGGCATCACTGTGTGAACTGCTTAAAATGTGACGATAATTTAAAAAGAAATTCATGTTGACATCCTGTTAACCTTTTTATTGACTTTAAATAAACTGAATGTCATTTAAAGACATTTCACCACTCTGTTTCTTACGTCTTATATTTTTATCAACTGATTATGTCTCGACTGATTTTTGTGGTTTTCTAGATCCAAACTTTGCTAAAACCTCGACGATAGAGACGTCGCTGCAAACTCCAGATCCTCAGGACACGACTCCAGCAAATGGTGAGAAAACAGTCCAACTTTACTCTGCATCATCCCTGTTTGGGTTTTTGTGGTGACCTTGTTGTTTTTTCTATTTCTGCAGGTCGATCCAGGGTTCCTGTGGTCGTCACTGTCATCGCTTTTATAATCGTTATAGCTGTTGCTGGTTTTTGCTGCCAACATCAGAATCGAACTGTAAGAAAGAAAGAAAGAAACATGTTGTTGCTTCTTGGCCGTCAGACTGACTCATTATTCTCCTTCTTTCAACAGAAGCATCCAGAGGATGATGAGACAGAAAAACAACCACTACCAGTCTAACTGCCTTGCTCAAAGGAACATTGGTGTTAATGAAACTGAGGGGTTTTTTTTTATCTTTGCTGGATCTTCAGTCAGGTTGGGAGTTCAAACCTGCAGCCACAGGGAGACAGTCAGGCCCAGCTGAGATCATCATACTGACAGATAATGACTCTTCTAAAATTTAATCTACACTAAAACTTTGCAGCTCTGAGATGCAGCTGAACCCTCCAAACTGCAAAAGCACAAGAATCAGTGAGAAACCAGTCCAACTTGTCTCTGCATCGTTTCTGTTTGTATGTTTGTATGAGTTTTTGTGGTAATCTTGTTTTTCTGTTGTTGTTTTTATTTTGGTAATTTTACATCAGCAGGTCTGTCCAGGGTCAACCTGTTCCTGATAATTTCCACCTCGGTTGTCGCTGCTCTTGCTGCATATTTTTCTCAATGCCTTCATCAGGAACTAAAAGCAAGTCTGACACAGACAAACACGAACATGTTGTGCTGTCAGACTGACTTCAACTACTTTGAACAGAAGCATTCAGAAGATTAAGATTTGACTAGATTTATTGTTTTGTTCATCTTTGATGTGTTAAGTTGCCTTTTTTGCTTTTGCTGTATAAACTTGTTGTGCCATCAGTGATGTCATTACATAACTTATGTTTTATTACTATTGTTGTATTTTATTCATTTATTGTTTTTATTTGTAGCAGTCCCCCGGACCAAGGAAGAAATAGAGAGAGCCTCGACGGGTGCAGTAATTTTTACTTTAAGATTCATTCAGAATCTAACAGTGCTGAGGTGCGCCAATGCACCGTGAAAACTAAACAGAAACACAAAATACATTTTCTTAGATGCGTATTACAAATATGAACTCAAATAAAGCAGAAAATACAACAAAATATCAAGTAAGAAAACAAATACAACTTAAAACATGTACCGTGCTCCGCATTCCAAGGGCTGCAAATTGTTAATTTTGCTAGAGTCCGGTATCACGCTGCTTCACGCTTCATTGAGAGCTGCCTACTGGGACATGTGCCACAAAAACCGGTCTGAGCTGGAAGTGCAGCTTGCCGCTAACTAAGCAACAGAGCCCTCTACTGGACACTACGCATAGCTGTTCAGGCTTAGATCAATAAACAAAACTGGACCTTTACATTATTTATTTCTGTCTGTTTGCAGTCAAACTCTTTTTGTTGTTGCACTGAATGAAAGTTCTGTGTTTGTATATTTTGAACATGTGTTGTGTTTCAGGGATATTTAAATGCACTACAGGCGTATTCAGCTGAGTTTAGTATTCAGCTGAAGTAATATGCATATGTATATTCATTTTAATACAATAAGAGAGCTCATCTTACTGTTTCTTTTCCCCAAAATGTTCTTTACTAAACAGTAAAATCAGTAAATGGTCAGCATGATGGTCCATGTGTATATTTAGTGGTTAGTACTGTGGCCTCACAGCAAAAAGGTTGCTGGTTGAGAAACGTGCTTCTTGCGTTTATTAGTTATTCTAAATTGTGAGGAAACTAAAGTGCTTGAAGTGCTCAGATTAAAGTGTTGCATGAAGAAAAAAATCTGATTTGTAGTTAGAAACACTTTGAGTGGGCAGTAAGACTGAAATCAAAGCTCATGTGATCCACCTGAGCTGCCATTTTTGTTTTGTGTTCTAACTGTTAATGCTTAATTAATACTGATTATTATGAATGATAGTTATAAGGGTCTGTTATGATACAGCAGTGAGGACAGAGTTTAACAGCTGTAATGGTTTTACATGGTCATAGAATAAATTATATCTGAATGTATTTTCACGTTTGATCAAATATATTTAAATCATCATAGGGCTGTGTTATATACGCCACAGGTAGGCTGCATGTTTGTCCTGCGATTCTTTCTTTTTTGGGACATTTGAGTTGTATAGTGACACATTTGTGTTCCCAGCGTGGTCGTCTTATTCCTTTTTAACTCCAGAAAGATTAGACTGGAAGAGAGCACAGATCTACTAAGACCAGTGGAACGAGCTCTGTCGCTGTTTGTTCAGTGTTTACTTTGTTTGGTGAACAAGGAAGCAGTTCCCTCTGATTGCTCATGGAAAAGAATGAACTAGTGTCATAAAGAACTCCTAATGTTTCAGAACCTACGGCACAATAGTGTCTCCAAGGGAAGAATGCAGATAGTTATTGCGTGACACAGCTTGTTCATGAGTTTTGAACTAGACTCTCCAGCAATAAACCTGCTGTGTTATATTTAGGCTCAGATAATATTTAAAGGCGCTGCTTGAATGTGCCAAAGTGTGATTCTGAATCTTCTCTGCTGAGCTTTGAAAGAGATGTTGCAGGATCAAGATGAGTAGGCCACAGGAAAAGCACAGAGAATCCTTTTTTTCAAAATAAAATAATCTGCAGAGAGTAAATGTTCCACCTCTGAAACCATTCAGGTGATTTACAACTGTACAAAGAACAACATGAAACTAATGACAGTGTTTGGCCAACAACAGTAACTTTATTTAGCCTAATTACATTTGGCCCGCGAAGCCATACCAAGTTATTATTAGAGCTGACCTACTGGTATTATACAGCTAATATATATATTGTTTAGTATTAAGCTTTGCTTGTTCCATATTCAGTTTTTTAAGCAAAACTTGTTTGATTCCATAAGAAAAGATTCATTCTGATAATTGGAGGAAGATTTTTTTTTCAATAAATATTAACGTTAGCCCGCGACTTTGTTCCAGATTTGAATTTTGGCCCACTATGTATTTGAGTTTGACACCCCTGGTCTACTACAAGCCTCATTCACACACACATTCATTCAGCACATTTGTCAACCACATAAAACACAGCTTTCACTCATCACTATGGCTGAGTTGCTTCTGTGCAAAGATTCTTAGGCTTGTTGAGTCTTGCTGAAACTGCTGCTGGTGGTCGGGTCGCCTGAATGATTTGGGAGTTTTCCCAAAATCTCTGATGTTACTTTTCCATCCTTTGTCTCCCCATCAGAAGGTGATGGAGCATGTGATCCGTCGTGATGTTATGGTTCATGAGCCAAGAATAATTGTGTGATCTGTGAAAAGCAGAGCTTATGGAAAAACAACTGCACTCTAACGTAGCCTAACTTTAGTGTGCTGCTGACTGTGTAACGCACAAAGGTGGATCTATTGGCACAGATGGACGGTCACTGATAGTCCAAATTAGAATGAAAATAACAAACACTGCTTTTTTCCATCATATCCAATCAGAAACAAAAGAAGGCACTGGATGTCTTATTCCTTTTTGACTCCAGCTGTCGTGGAGAGAGGTAGTTGCTGTATTTAAGCAGATTCAGTATAGCGACTTCAGTCCTGAGGTAAGCATCCTGACTGCTAACTAGAGAAGGTTAAGAGCTAAATGCGTTTTTCAGGCTCTGTCTGCTGCTATAAACCTCTCAGCGGTTTGTGTTCCAGCCTAATTGAACTATAGAAACTCCTGTAGCAGCCGCTGTTTTTGGACCCTGCTGTCTTGTCCCAGTTGATTTTATTTTTATTGGTTTCATTTTCTTTCACTTTGCCTTGTTTTATATTTGTGGACTGTTGTTTATATTTGTGCCCACGTGGCCGGGCGAGAGTGATCTCCTGCCCGTGTGTCGTGCTGGTTCTTTGTTACCTCTGTACCGACCCAGCTGATTTACTCCGGGAGCTGTGGAGGATTCCTCTTTTTGTGAGGGGCCACAATCAGTATTTTAACCACTGTAACCAGTATAGATCTCGATCTCTCTCTCTCTCAATCACTCACTCACACTCTCTCTCTCTGCAGTTTTTATTTTTCTGTTGTATTTTCTATTATTTTCACTTCAGCTTGGAACATTTCATTTGTTCAACATCAGCTTGATTTAAGCTGCTAAATCTAAAACAACTGTGGGTCAGTAATAACTAAAACATCAGTGTTTGCACCGTAAACATCTCACTGCTTGGCTGCAGCAGGAGAGGCGTCCTTCAACCTGACGAAACAAGATGACCTCTCACCTTTGTCATTAACACACTGAGACTGTATCAGTCCCACTCCCAGTGACAATTTCACAGTTATCACCTGACATAAGTGATTTTATGATCAATTTATTCATTGCTAACATGTTTAGGAGCCGTTCATGATTAAAATATGCGATGTTACAGTATAGTTAGTTGTGTTCTGTTTCCTCACAGTTTCCAGCTGTGTTCACTTTATCTGCAAACATTTCATGTGTTCACACAACAGCTGGATTCAAACATGTAAATCCAGAAAATTGAACTAGTAATAAAGTAAACACACTGCTGAAAATAAGTGAACAGGATTCTTTTGACAGAGGTTCAGACAGTGTCTTATAC